TATAATACTCGGTGCTCATCATAGTAAGTGCACTCTTAATCCCTTCACCTATTTCACCCATTCCTCCCACCCACCTCTCCTCTGGTAACCATCTGTTTGTTCTCTATAGTGTCTGGCTTTTGGTTTGTGTCCTCCAGATTGTGAGCCTTCTCAGTTTCTATAATCACATGAGCCAATTCCTCTTAATAAATCTCCTGATAGATAGATATTGGTCCTGTTTTTCTGGAGACCACTGACTAATACAGTTTCCTTAGGCAACTTAAATCTCCATTGTTTGCAAAATCTTCATACTAACTCATTGGAGCTCTAGGACTGCAGAATAGAATTTAAAATCTGCTTTCTCAGGCCTTGGAGTATCTCCAGAAGCATTTACTGAAAATACAGGAACCATAGTGACTCCCCATGAACCCATTATATTCACATTCCCGTTTGGGCCAGGCTCTGAGCTAACAGGGCTAGTAAAGAGATAGGAGGAATGGTTCCAATCTTCAAAGTAGCTCCTGGTCTAAAGTAGAAGACAGAAAAATAAATAATCACAATTCAGTGTTCATTCATTCAATGCATATTTAGTGAGTGCCTATGATGTTCCAGCATTATTTTAGGTGATCAGGATGTAGCAATAAACAAAGGAGACAAATTCCTGTTCTCCCTGATTTTACATTCTAACCAGGGAAAATAGATATAAACAAAATAAATAAGTAAAAATTATACTATGTTAGAGGGGATATGAAGTGTTGAAAAAATTATAATTTTAAGGTAGTCAGGAGGCTTTGGGATACAATGGAAAAACATAGGAGAGGCATTTTGAAAATAGTTGAACTTGGTAAAAACAATTTTGTGACATGATGGGGTCAAGTAGAAGATTGCAATAGTTTGAGGAATGAAGGGAAAATAGAAGAACATGGAGGTTCCAGTGTGGACTTTTAATAAATTTGATTATAAAATAAGAAAGAAAAAGAGATGCTCACAATTAAGGGTAGATTTTAAGTGGGAGGTTCTTGATCATGTTTATAATTCTAGAAGAAGGGCCAGTAGAGAGAATGTTATTCAATATGCTGGTGGGGAAAATGAGATCATCTATTAAAAGATCACCAGGTGGAAGGAGGTGGGATAGAGTTGGTGGGAAATATTAGCCTTGGGTGAAATGACACAAGCAAAATCTGCTAATAGTAATAACTGCTAATATTTATTAAGAATTTACCATCGTGGGGGTGTTCTAAGCACTTTATATGTAATAACTCATTTAATATTCTCAGCAACCTTATGAGGTACATACTATTATTATCTCTATTCTACAAATGAAGAAGCTCGGCAAGGAAAGTTAAGTAAATTGCCCAAGTCTCACCGGGAAATGCAACATAAAATTTCTAACCCAGGCATCTGGCTTCAGTCTTCAATCTCAAACCTTATCCTATACTGATAAGTGTAAAAAGAAAGGAGGAGGGAGGGTCAAGCAGTTTGAGTGATGACTTGAATTGTTACAGAGGTGGAGATGTCTAAGGATGGACACAGGGTTAGGGGTGTTTAGAGAATGTCAGACTAAATACCTAGCCAGAATTTTGAAACAAAGGGGACCATGGAGATTGCGCACTCTGTTGAGGCCCAGAGGTGCCCACTAGACTAAGCTCTATCAGAACAGGGATCATGTCCATGCGATACCTAGTACTGGACCTGGTGAATAGCAGGCACTTATTAAAATTTCTGTTAGCTTAAATAAGATAATTGAAGTTAAATATGTGCCTTAGTTAGGTTGATACTGGGTTGAATGTTAGAAAATTACCATTTATATTAGTCTTAATTCTTCTGCAAAGCACTTACCTTTTCCTTATTTCTTCTACCAGGCCCAGTGCCCCCCACCCCACCCCCAGTCAAGTCAATTTGTTTGCTAAAATTTGCTACTTCCCATTTTCTTGTCATTGCATATATCTTCCTCTTACAATGTCTACTTCGCCCTCTATTCATGTCTCTATTTCAAAGTCCACTATAAATATTATCTACTCTCAAGTATTCTTAAATGATTAAATCTACCTTTGTTAATTTTTAACTTTGTGATCCCTTGTGTCATTCTTAAGATGTTTCTTTGCGGGCGCCTGGGTGGCTCAGTTGGTTAAGCGACTGCCTTCGGCTCAGGTCATGGTCCCAGGGTTCTGGGATTGAGTCCCGCATCGGGCTCCCTGCTCGGCAGGGAGTCTGCTTCTCCCTCTCCCCCTGCTTGTGTTCCTGCTCTTGCTGTCTCTGTCTCTGTCAAATAAATAAAAAAAATCTTTAAAAAGAAAAAAAAAGATGTTTCTTTGCAAAAATGCTCAGTTTTTTAGCAAATTCTCTGTTTATACACTTAATTTTTCTTTCTTAAGCTTTATTTATTTTCTGGAATAGGCAATATATTTGCATGGCTCCTACTTAAATAAAATACACAAAAAGGTATCCAGTAAGAAGTATGCTTCTCAGGGGTGCCTGGGTGGCTCAGTCAGTTAAGCACCTGCCTTCGACTCAGGTCATGATCCCAGGGTCCTGGGATTGAGCCCCCCATTGGGTTCCCTGCTTGGCGGGAAGCCTGCTTCTCCCTCCCCCACTCCCCGGCTTGTGTTCCTGCTCTCGCTATCTCTCTCTGTCAAATAAATAAAACCTTTAAAAAAAATATGTAATCTACAAAGAAGTTATTAGAACTAATAAGTGAGTTCAGCAAAGTTATAGGATGCAAGATCGAGACAGAAATAATTTGTTTCTATATGCTAGCAATAAATAATTAGAAATTGAAATTTAAAATACCATTTACAATAACATCAAAAAACATGAAAACTTAGAAAAACATCTGGCAAAAGACCTGTACACTAAATACTATAAAACATTGCTGAAAGAAATAAAGAAGACCTAAGTAAATGGACAGCTATACTATCTTTATTGGTTGAAAGGTTTAATAGTTTGGTCAACTCTTCCCAAATTGATCTATAGATTCAATGCAATTGCAATCAGCATTCTAGCAAGGTTTTTAAAAATTATTTTTATAGATATTAACAAGCTGATTCTAAAATTCATATACAAATGAGTCTAAAATAGCCAAAAACAATTTTGGAAAAAAACAGAGGTAAAGTACCAATACAACATCAAGACCAACTATGAAGCTGCACTAATCGGTACAGTGTGGTATTGGCATCAGGGTAGACAAATCAATGGAATAGAATGATGTTCAGAAATAGAATCACTCATCTGAGGCGCCTGGGTGGCTCAGTCAGTTAAGCGTCTGTCTTCAGCTCAGGTCATGATCCCAGGGTCCTGGGATTGAGCCACATGTTAGGCTCCCTGCTCAGCGGAGAGCCTGCTTCTCCCTCTCCCTCTGCTCTCCTGCTCCTGCTCTCTTGCTATCTCAAATAAATAAATAAATCTTAAAAAAAAAAAGAAATAGAACCACTTATCTGCGGACAACTGACCTTCAACAAAGATGCAAACACAAAGCAATAAAGGAAGTCTTTTCAACAAATGGTGCTGCAGCAAAAAAAAATAAAATAAAAAATAACTTCAGTATTTACCTTGTATCATATTTAAAAAAATAACTCCAAATGAGTCATGGACCTAAAACTATAAAACTTTAAGTAGAATGTATAGGAGAAAATTGTTGTGACCATGAGCTAAGCAAAGAGCTCTTAGAAACAACACCAAAACACAATCCATAAAGGAAAAGTTGTCAGATTTCATCAGAATTTAACATTTCTCTTTGAAAGACATTAGAGAATGAAAAGATAAGTCAGACCAGGAGGAAATATTTCCAAATCGTATATCTGATAAAGAACCGGTATCCAAAATATATAAAGAAGTCTCAAAACTAAGTAACAAAAAATATCAACAAATACAGGCAAATGATTTGAACAGACATGTCAGAAGATATACAAAAGTCAAACACATGAAAAATGCTCAACATTATTTGTCATTAGGGAAATGCAAATTAAAACCACAATGATAAATACATCTATTAGAATGGTTATAACTTTAAAAAATGCCCATATCAAATGTTGGCCAGAATGTGGAAGAACTGAAACTCTCATACTACTGGTGGTAATATAAAATGGTACAACTAGTTTGGAAAACACCTTGGCAGTTTCTTGAAAAGTTAAACATACACCTACCAAATAATCCAACCATTTTACTCCTAGGTAGTTTACCTAATGGGGGAGAAATAAAAGCATCTGTCTTTACAAAAACCTATATACAAATGTTTCCAAAAGCTTTATTTGTTTTTTGTATTTAAAGATTTTATTTTTAGGGGCGCCTGGGTGGCTCAGTCGTTAAGCGTCTGCCTTCTGCTCAGGTCATGATCCCAGGGTCCTGGGATCGAGCCCCGCATCGCGCTCCCTGCTCCGCAGAAAGCCTGCTTCTCCCTCTCCCACTCCCCCTGCTTGTGTTCCCTCTCTCACTGTGTCTCTCTGTCAAATAAATAAATAAAATATTAAAAAAAAAAAAGATTTTTAAGTAATCCCCACACCCAACGCAAGGCTCAAACTCACAACCCAAGTTCAAGAGTCGCACATTCCACCTACTGAGTCAGTCAGCCACCCTACAGAAGCTTTATTTGTAATAGCCACAAATGGAAAACAACCCAAATGTCTACCAACAAGTGAATAAATAAACAAAAGGAAGTATATCCATACAAAGGGATAGCAATAAAAAGGAATGAGCTATTAATAAACACAACAACATGGATGAATCTTAACATAATTATGTAGAGTGAAAGAAGTCAGACTCAAAAGTATACACACTCTGATCCCATTTATATAAAATTCTAGAAAATTCAAAGTACTATAAAGGGGGGATGGGAGGAAGGGATTACAAAGAAGCATAAGAAGACTTTTGGGTAATGGGTATATTCATTATTTTGACTGTGATGATGGTTTCATGGGTCAAACTTGTCAAACTGCACACTTTAAATATGTGTGCTTTATTTTATGTCTGTTATACTTCAACAAAGCTAATTAATTTCTTTTAAAGCAGTGTACACAGTTCTGCTCCCTGTCCTTTTTTTTTTTTTTAACTTGATATGCCTTTTAATTGTTTCTTTTAAATATACAAAGCTTTCTCATTCTTTTTTACCTACCTAGGATTCTATTATATACATGCACTATATTTGATTTTATGATGTCTCCTACTGTTGACAAACAATACATTGAAAAACCTTGTACAAACTCATTACTTTCAGATACAAGCATATCTATAGAATATATTCTTCGAAGTAAAACTGCGAGGTCAAAACAAAATACATTTACAGTTCTGATTGCCATTGCCAAATTGATCATTCAGTTTTCAATGCAGGAAACAGAGCCATTCTAGAGATCTTAAATAGGAAGGCACTTGTTATAGGGACTCTGGAACGTAAAAGGTCATTGAAAGGGCTGTAAGAGCAGGGTTTAGGAATATAGGTTGAGCCTCCCAGAATGAATCCCACTGTGATACAGAACTGACTTACTAGAGTCTATGACCTCTGAAGTCGTTGTGGAGCTATGCTAGGAGCCAGAGACCACCACCACCTTCCCTCACTCCTGGGAAACTGGAGAAAGAAGATCTGATACCACAATCCAGAGATTAAAATGTCATTTTAAGAAGCTGGTGCCACCCTCACTACTTCTCCATATTCAGGAAGTTGGAGGATAGATGTTTGATCACTGCTGCATGGAAACATGTTTCCCACAATCTTGCAACATTCAAGAACCTCAAAAAGACGGCCTCTGCCTCATTTCTCGTTTCAAATCATGAGGGGAACAAATAATTGGGAAAATCTAATTAGCTTCCAGAACAGTAGCTGCACAAACAAATCTGGGAAATGTATGTATTTTCCAACCTCTCTGACTAGGAAGGAAAATTGGTGGTTGAAAGAATAAATCTAGAATAGATAGCACACCATTTTTAGTGGTTGTTCTAATTTACACCTCTACAAGCAAAAACACTTGTTCCCCAATTCTTACCAATAATATCTAGGATGTAACACAATGTCTTACAAAATTTAAAAAAATTCTTGATCAAAAAAAAAATAGGTTAAAAACTTGTATCTCAGTATAGTTTTTATTTTGTACTTCTCTTAACAGTGAAGTTCAACTTTTATTTTCAATTTGTGTCATTTATATCCTTTTCTGTGAAAACTGTTTATAGTTTTGGATCTTTTTCCTTTTGGATTGTTGAATTTTTTCCTTATTAAATTCTAGGACTTCTTTATATATTAAGCAATGCATGATATGATTTGCAAATTTTTTTTCCAAATCTGTAATTTCTCTTTGCTCCTGGTGGTTTTTGAGATGAAGAATTTATATTATCGTTATTATATATTATACATTACTATAAATTTATACTGAATACCTTTTTTTTTTTAAGATTTTATTTATTTATTTGACAGAGAGAGACACAGCGAGAGAGGGAACACAAGCAGGGGGAGTGGGAGAGGGAGAAGCAGGCTTCCCGCTGAGCAGGGAGTCCAATGTGGGGCTCGATCCCAGTACCCTGGGATCATGACCTGAGCCGAAGGCAGACGCTTAACGACTGAGCCACCCAGGTGCTCCCTGAATACCTTTTTTATTGTTTCTGGATTTTATACCACATTTAGAAAAGTCTTCACCACACTAAAATCTTTTAAGATTCTCCTACGATTTCTTCAAGTACTTTAAACATTTCAGTTTAAAACTGGATTTTATTTTGGTATGAGGTATGACTCCCAACTTTTATTTTTTCCTGCAAATAGCTACCCAGGTGTCCTAACACCTTTTAATGAACAAGCCATATTTTCCTCACTGAATTAAATGTCATCTTTATCTTGTGCTAAATTCCCATATCTGAGTCAATTTTAGACCTATTTTATTCTAATGATCTGTCTAGTCATATGCCAGTACCAAAGTGTTTTAATTTCTGCAGTTTTCTATTTTTAAAATTTTGTAAGAGTAGTCTGTCCTCACTGCTTTTTTTAAGAGCTTTCCTAGCTAGTCTTATTTCTTTTTCATTGGAATCGGCTTTCTAGTTTTAGAAAATCCTGATATTTTTGGAGGGGGAGATGAACCATGAGAGACTATGGACTCTGAAAAACAAACTGAGGGTTCTAGAGGGGAGGGGATGGGGGATGGGTTAGCCTGGTGATGGGTATTAAAGAGGGCACGTTCTGCATGGAGCACTGTTATACGCAAACAATGAATCATGGAACACTACATAAAAAGTAATGATGTAATGTATGGTGATTAACATAATAAAATATGAAAAAAAAAGAAAATCCTGATATTTTTATTGAGATTGCATGAAATTTATAGATTAACTTAGAAAGAACTGGCATGTAGATGTTGGTAAGTCTTCCTATCCAAGAATATGATATACCTCTCCATGTGTTTGTGCTTTCTTTTCAGGAGAAACAAAGCTTTCTTTCTGTGGTCTTGCATACTGTTTATTCCTAGGTATTCTTTTCTCCTTTGTTCTTTTTTTTTTAAAGATCTTATTTATTTATTTTATTTGAGAGAGAGAAAGGAGAGAGAGCAAGCAGGGGGAGGGGCAGAGGGAGAGAGAATCTCAAAAGGGCTCTGCACAGAGCATGGAGCGCCATGCTGGGCTTTATTCCATGACCCTGATTATCACCGACCTGAGCTGAAACCAAGAGTGGGACGTTTAACCACCTAAGCCACCCAGGTGCCCCTCCTTTGTTCTTACTTTATTTTTTTTTTAAGATTTTATTTATTTATTTGTCAGAGAGAGCACAAACAGGGGGAGCGGCAGATGGAGAAGCAGGGTCCCCACTAAGCAAGGAGCTTGATATGGGACTCCATCCCAGAACCCTGAGATCATGACCTGAGCTGAAAGCAGACTCTTAACCAACTAAGCCATCCAGGCGTCCCCTTTGTTCATACTTTAAAAGGAGCTTTTTCTTCCATTATATCTTCTAATTGGCTGTTGTTTATATAGATAAAAGCTTTTAATTTCTATGATTAATTTTATACCCAGTGACTTTATTAAGACACGTTCAGTTGACTCTTAAGCTTTGCACTATCTTCTACAAGTACTAATTTTACTTCCTCCATTTTTAATGTCTCTAAATTCTCTTGCATCTGTTAGATAATTCTCCCCTAGGTTTTTAAGTTCCTTGAGAACATGAATTATAGTAGAACATTTTGTATATCTTTCAGAGACCAGTAAGATGCTCTACATAGAATGTTAGGAAAACAGAAACACAAAGTGCCTGCTAAATTCTGAATCTGCTTATTTATTCATATCCTTTTGTCAGGTCCCCACTCATAAAAGAACCCAAAACTGAAAACCTTTTGAAGTGTCACATATATATTTTGCAACAAAGTAGGCCTTTTAGCTACAAGTTTTTTTCTTGGATTTACATATGAAATTGCAGGCAAAATCTAAAATTTTTAGGTTCAGTTTTGCTTAAACATTATTGGTGAAATTCATATTGTCTATAGCACTTTCCCTAAAGCCATGTATAATTTCACTTAAAAACTACATATATGAGGGGTGCTTGGGTGGCTCAGTTGGTTAAGCATCCCACTCTTGGTTTTGACTCAAATCATCTCAGGGTGGTGGGATCAAGCCCTGCATGGACTCCATGCTCAGTGGGAGTTTGCTTGAGATTCTCTCCCTCTTCCTCCTCCCTTCCCCTCCCCCTGCTCCCACTCTCAATCTCTCTAAAATTAATAAAGAAATAAAATCTTTAAAAAAAAAACTACATATGTTAGGTGAAATGTGTGTGTGGGGGGGGGTAGAATGGCCATTAAGGCTTAAAATCAAATGCATGAAACAGAAAACTGAATTCTATACACTATACAAGAAAATCAGTCTTCAGGTGCCTGGATGGCTCAGTCGGTAAAGCAGCTGACTCTTGGCTTAGGGTCAGGTCATGATCTCAGGGTCCTCAGGTCAAGCCCTGCATTGGGCTCCGCACTCAGCACAGAGCCTGCTTGTCCATCTCCCTCTGCTCCTCCCCGTGGTCTCTGTCTCTGTCTCTGTCTCTCTCTCTCTCAAATAATCTTAAAAAAAGAAAAATCAGTCTTCTTACTTCATAGGTAAGAATCTTATGTTAAAATATTTCCAAACCATACCAGTTACCTACATAGAAAGGATAAATCAGTCATGTGTGCATCTTAAAAATACTACATCAGAACAGAAGTTCCTGAGGCTCCTCAGTGGCTCAGTTGGTTAAGCATCCAACTCTTGATTTTGGCTCAGGTTGTGATCTCAGGGGCGTGAGATTGAGCCCTGCATCGGGCTATGACCTCAGTGTGGAGTCTACATGTCCCTCTCCCTCTGCTCCTCACCCTGCTCTCTCTCTGTCAAATAAATAAATAAATAAAATCTTTAAAAAAAAAAAAAAAAGAAATTCCACTTGATAAAGCAAATGTTTCTTCCCCAGACCATTTTCAAGTGTGGTAAAAAGAATTCTAAGTTCTAAACCAAACTTTTATAAGGTGCAGAAAACAACTGTGTGATACAGTGAAATAAGATGAAAATTCAGGAAGTACAGATAAATAGCAGCTCTTAAAACTGCCCAGCAAAATGGATAAATATTTGTAGATTTTCCTCACAGAGTCATGAGACACTCTCCCCCAGACTAACTCTAAAGCTTTTCTCAAACATCATGATAAGGTTCTTTCTCTAATAACTAAACCTTCCTTGTACCTTATATTGGACCTTATATCCCTTGGATCTTATATTAACTGTATTCGCCACACCCCAATTTTCAAAAACTGAGGCATAAATTTTCAAATGTGCTAGTTTTTATGATTACCATCAAAGACCATCAAAGGCAGATACAGAGATTAAAGATCTAACCAATGACTTTGTAACACCAGCACGTGAATCCTGACCACAATACTTACATAAGTACAATTAGTTTCAATTATTTATTATTCAGATAAATAAATGTCTACCTACAAGGCTAATCAGTGTGACAACCTGAGATCATGACTCAAGGTTATTTTAGATTTTGTCTCTTTTCCTGTCCATTCACTGCTTAGTTCTCACCTGGGGTGCCCCATTAAGCACATGCAGAGGCTCCTTTTAGCATTTCTTGGTGAGTACGTACCTAAAGATGGCATAAAAATTCATGTGAGTTAATATGGTAAGTGTAATGATTTGCTTTGAATATCCCATCAAATGTATTGAATTAATAAGTAACTGGCACATGCAATTTTTAATTGCAAAGTAGCCAGAAAACAAAAACAGCCAAAATCATCTTGAAAAACTGAAGCTAAAAACTTTATATGTTTTTTTAAAAATTTCTATTAGGGATTATGAATTTGGGGACACTAACTTATATTGTTTTCAACACTAAGGCAAAAAGGGTGGTGAACAGCTCAAGTTTTCTAGTTCAAGTTTTTCCAAAATATAACAGGCAGTGCCCGAGTCAGCTTCAAAAAAACAGAGCAAAGATGGTATCCCTATGATCATTAAATACAATATTTTTTTTAAAGCAATGCTTAGCTTAAAGCTTCTTTCTTTTTCTTTTTCCTTCCTTCCCTCCTTCCTTCCTCACTTCCTTTCCTCCTTCCTTCCTTCTTTTTAAGCACCACTACAAATACTGTGTTCCTTTGACAATATATATTTTCTAGAGGATCTTTTGAAAAGATTTATTTATTTATTTGAGAGATGGGGGCAGAGGGAGAGAGAGAATCTCAAGCAGACTCCATGCTGGGTACAGAGCCCCACACGTCCTTGATCCCATACCCTGAGATCAAAAATCAAGAGTCGGATGCTCAACTGGCTGAGCTACCCAGGCGCCCCCCGACAATATGTTTTTAAAAGGCTGTTTTTGGATTCTTGGCTTTTAATGTTCTGAATCACAAATCCTTGCCAATTTTTCTTTCTCTAATTAAAGCCACCCCTATCCCTATGATTCACTGTCAATAAAAGGGACAAATAAGTTACTTACCAGATTGAATGAAGGTCTCAATCAACACCACTCTTAAGCTTTAGCTCTTCATTCAGCATTTAAGGAAATGCCTCATTTTTTAGAATCATATCCTTGTCAAATATTCCATAGATGAGAATTTCTTATACATGGTGATTATTTTGCAAATCATTCTATATACAGTTAATAATCTTTTAAATGTTTGATTGGAAGAGGCACCAGCACAGCTTTGGTTCTGGCAAAGCAGTGGACTAATTGTTGGGGAATTAGGACTGCCAAATGTCAGCCTCAAAGCAACACACCAAAGGGCGCCTGGGTGGCTCAGTTGGTTAAGCGACTGCCTTCGGCTCAGGTCATGATCCTGGAGTCCCGGGATCGAGTCCCGCATCGGGCTCCCTGCTCGGCAGGGAGTCTGCTTCTCCCTCTGACCCTCCCCCCTCTCATGTGCTCTCTCTCATTCTCTCTGTCTCAAATAAATAAATAAAATCTTAAAAAAAAAAAAAAAGAATATGCCGAGAATGAGGCCAACTCAGAATTTTGTCACGGGTACTAGAGCACACTACCCTATTTCCACATGGTATAGAACCCAGTGATTTGACTTTCCCAGAATGCTAGTTACTCTTTAAGCTTAATTTATGATAAACATAAAACATATTAAGAATCAAGTAGTTAATTTCCAGTTCAAGAATGTCACCATGGATATAACTTTCTTTAAAGAGGTTATGATTCTGGTTTGTTCTTGGTAAATTGGTCAGTTGACTGAAGATGGAATTTGAATAGGGTTGAAGTTGGATTTCAGGGAACTGAAAATTCATAAAGGATAAATATAAATAAAAACATTTATATATGAGAGATACAGACACACACCATTAACAATGGTTATCTCTTAAGAGGGATAGGGATGTGGGATGTTGGGGGAAGGGAAACCTGAAAGGGACTTTTTATTTTTTCATTAAAGGCATCGACCAACTAGAAGTTTTAATTTTTGGCAACATGAAGTCCTGTCTTATGTAACTACTCCGGAGTTGTATAAAGACTTTACCCTGTACGCTTTCCCTATCAGCTATTCCTCCCCTCTTTTCCTTCTCCCCTCAAATAAAAACCTATTCTGAATAAAGAATCTGCTAAATTCTTGAATTGTATATATTAATCAGTCAATAGTAGGCCAAAAGTAATGTACTTCAAATGAATTATAAGCAGATGTCTTTCTAATATCCTGATTTACATGCATAAGGGAGACCCTGATTCTGTCTAAGCACTGGCTTGCACTTAAATTCTATGATTCTAATGAAATCCACCTACATGACAAGATTCCTTTTGGTAAGGTTTCATGGAGAGTCAGAAGTTATTTTGAAAGGCAACCACCCCAAAGACATGTGGGAGAAAACAAAAAGAAAGTCTGCATGTACTGACATAACAGTTCCTAGACATGATGGTAAGACAAAAAAGCAGTTGCAAAACATATGCATAGTAAGACAGAATTTATGTATATAAAAATTTAAAACCCATAAAACTATGTATTTCTATAGATAAGTATGTATGTATAAAAATGCACAGCAAAAAGGTAATTGAAGAGTATATACTACAGAGCAGTATTTTCCTTCTGGGAGGGGAGTACTTTTTATTCTTTTTCCTAGAATATATTCTCAGATAATTAAATACAAAGTGAAGAACTTTTACATTTCTAGGAAGTACTACATATGATGATTTCCTTAAAATAGTTTGCTACCGAAGATACAGTTTAGCAAATACCACTGTTGTCTATATTTCAACATTACCATATTTTATCCCTGCTGTCCCTCACCTTTCTCTCATTGGTCTACACAGGCTCAAATTTAAGGAAGTCATTTTAGCTTTTTCTTGAGTATTTGATAATGAAGAGCTGGTACAGTTGTCAGAAGCATCAAAATCAAGGTGAGAACTGATACAATGGGAATGAAGGTAGGCAGGTTCATCTTTTGGCTTTAATGTGATGCATTTGGTATGAGCAGGCCTCTGAAGACAAGATGCTTTAAGAGTAAGATTCTTACTGGGTGTGCTGTGTAACATCAACTTGCCATGTTCATCTATGTACTGCAGAGAAAAAGTTGTGGTACCAAGGTTAACATATCAAAGCACACTCAGCTTCTCAGAAGAGAGATGATATCTAAGTCCCAAAGAGCACAAGCAGTGCTAAAAGTCTATCAAATTAAAGTGATATTTGTTTAGAAGCAAAGCATTGTTGCTTGAAATTGGAAACTCTTAAGAGTATTTCTAAAATTGTTTTCATTACATATGATTAATGCCAAAATACTTGCATTTAGGAAAATTTGCTCAGAATTCTAATTTGTTTCCTTTGAAAAGGGAAAAGCCATCAAAGTCAAACATTTGTATAACATGAACTTTGATCCACAACACCAAATATATTATTGTTTTTGTTAACTGAAAATTACAGAACTGCAACATACTAGAATCAACACCTATTATGAAATCAAGTAAATGTATGTATTCAATGAATCCCAGCTTTTAGTTATTAAAATCTAGGTAACACATTTTGTAATTTAGAAAAGAAAAAAGATCTACTTAGTCTCTGTATCTCCAGACATTATTGTAAGGCTCCTGCTGGTTGCAACCATCTATACCCTTTTCTAGAAGAGTTCATCTTCAATAGTCACAGAGTATGTAGTCCCTCTCTGCCAAACTGCATCTATAAAGAAAACTATAATGGCAAACAGAAGTCAAAAGATGAATTTCAAAAGTTAAAGGCACAGATCAAACCACTTCTGGAGATAATGTAAGTGGTAATTATAAGGGTAAATTCTATTTGGAGATAACATCAATGATCTAGACTCCTTGTAGCATTTATAATATAGAAAATTGCAAATTATATTAAAAGACATAGTATCACAATTCATTTTTTATATGTTCTAAATATTTGGCACAATGCATAAATTGCCTTATTTAGAAATGACTTGATAATGTATTTTCAAAACGATTATAAAAATGTCAGGTTGTAGAGTTTCATATCTACCTGATTTCCATTCTCCTCCTCACTATCCTCCTTTCACATGTCCCAAATTTTATCTTTTCTTACTGAAAACCTGTATCATTCTTATTTCTTAATTTAATGCCAAATAAAAAGTAATCACTAATAATATACAGCTAGTACTAAAAAAAACAAAACAAAAACAAAACCATCAATTTAGCTGTAACAGCCATAGCTTTAGGGTATTTTCAGGAGATATCCCCAGAACAAAACAAATTCGAACACTCATATTTCATACAATAACGTGATGCTTTTTTTTCAGATTGCTGTTTACCCCAAAACTGTTGCAATATACATTTTTAAAAACAATATTTTCCTCTATAATCACAAAGCAAAACAAGATGCAGAATACCCATCATCATTACAGAAACAATGATTGTATACTTTTAACATAATATTCAGGTATTTTTAATGACTATCTTATACCAATTTTTAATTATATATACTAAATGTATACACTTACGAGTTGAAAAATATATTGGTTCTACCTACCTACTACTTTTAATACACAATACAGTAACTTGTGTCTTCTTCCTAATAGCACAATTTATAAGGACAGGAACACAAAAGATATGTTAGAGAGGTGAAGAAAGTATCAGAGAAATTTCCTCAGCCTTAGTTTACCCTCTCTTTACCTCTCCTTTATGCACATACTGCAATTGGCTGGTCCTCTTTCATTCCTCTTTTATCCTATTCCTACCTAAATACCTCTCAGGCCTCAGGACAAGGACAAGTATTCTATTTTATTTATTGTTGCTAATGAATTAGCTTAAATTATAGGTCAAAAAAAGAAGAAACGCTTGAGGTTAGGAAAGATACACAGAAACCAAGGGAGAGTAAAGGAAAAAAAATATGGAGAGTGGTTTTATCCCATCAATAATTATCTGGCAACTCTGGAGCAGAGGTTCCTATCTGGACTTAGTATCACTAATATAGGGTCAAAAATCAAGAGTACAACTCTCCAATTATCAGGCTTTAAGACTTTACTTTTTGGAATAAAGCTCAATTTCATCTCTAATTAGTGTAAAAAATATTTCACTCCAAAGGAGAAGAGCTTATTTCCCATCTGCACGTATACTAGTAGAAATGGCAAGGCTTTCTTTACCATCTGTGGAAGAACCAAGGGGACAAAAACAATTTTTCCTGTATTTGTACTCATGATTCCCCCTGTCTCCCCTGCTGCCCTGCAAAAACACAAACTTCACAGGACACTGAGAGACTATACAATCATCTGATAAAAAAACAACAACAACAACCAATTTTAGCTTATCTCCCTGATTTTTCCCACCCTACCCTCCCCAAACACACACAACAGAGATCAGTGTGTTGAGTTTAGCAAGGAGAGTAAAGAAGGTAAAGTGAGGGCTCACAGAACACTTAATACTAAGTTAAAATTCTAGCATCGTAACATCTAGGTGTCAATTCAACTTTAAACCCATTTGGGAAAGTTTAAGCTATTAACTTAAAAATATGGTAGTACTTCTTTAGTAACTGTAACCTCTTTATATCCTCTTAATTGCTCATGCTAACAACTTTATTGCATACTACTGCTTCTTATAAGAAGTAAATCCAGGGACCATTCCATTTTATCTTAGACATAACATTTACTAGTTTTCCAAGCATGACAGAAATGGAAAAATATATATATTAGAACAAGAACAATTTATGTTAATCTCCACAATCTGTGATCCTTCTGTGAGTAGTGTCTGATTCTATTAAAATTAACAAATTTAAGTTCAGTCCTATGCTTAAGGAAAAAAAAAAACCCTCTAATGAGACTAATTTACAAAGTATACAAGAATAAAATTTTATAATAAATCTTTCCAGTGTTCGCTATAACCACATTACATGAAATGTTTCCCTTCACAGAAACTCAGAAGGACAACTCTTATAAAATGGAACAAACTTCTGTGTTCGTCTCCGGCAACCATTGAACAAATACAATTTGCTCACAAAGGGTTTAAAAGTGCTGCCCCAAGGGAATAAACTACCCCCTAACATGCTGTATGAATGAGTCTTGGCGAGTGGCAACTCTCTGGGACCTCTTCCTCTCTTCTCGTGCCAGTGAACCCATCTCACATAAAGTCTAAGAGAAAACTAAAGCCATTGCAGAAGTGAAACTCAGCATGCTCCACCCAAATACTTCTAAGGTAACCACTTCAAAGCAAAATCAGCAGAATTCATCTCTTTTATCCAAAAAAATCCCCCCAAAACAACAAAAAAACAAAAAACCCCAACAAACCAAAAGGCAAATGCTGTTGTTCAATCATCAGAAAGACTTAGAGAGGCAAAAAATATGACAACAGCAATAATTCAAGTAAAGTATATGTGAAAATTTAAACACGCCACTTTCAAGTTAAGACAAAAGTGAAGGGGAGCTATGATCTTTATATCAGAGTCAAAAAGCTTAGGCATTATCACCAAATGTTAATTCACTTTACAGTCATCAATGAGACTATTGTATATATTTTTGCACCTTGCGCTTGTAAAAGCAGATAAAATATTTAATATGTAATTTTACAATGTATTTTACCAGCTCAGCATACAGGTTGTATATAGATTATATCAAAGTAGTAGACAGTTAAGGGGCCTGTGCAAACCCTGCAAAAATAGTACTTCAGGTATCTGCTAATAAAAAAAAAGAAACAAAAACAGTTTGCTATTTTCTAGAAGTGATACAATTCAAACTACCACAAAATACAAAGGGCTGCAAAAATGTATACCATTCCAACAACATATATAAGTTATTAAATAAAGATTTGATTTAAAAGAATATAAATGAAGCCTTTAAGTAGGTCTTTTCTACATGCATATTATTCCCTATTAAAGAAAAAAATATGTAAAAAGGCCATTGGTAATTGCTTTGTTAACATTTGTAGAAAAATGCCAATTCTCTGGTCACAAACTCCACTAAGTTTAGCACTTAAGGTCTCTGCAGTGTTATAAACGTAATTTAAAATACTGTTAATTCTATAATTCCATTGGTAAAATAATGTGACTTGGAATATGGCAGTCTTCATGTTGAGGGCAATGATCCACAGTTTGTTTAACTTCTTAAGTGTGAACAGTTATCCAGAAGAACAGCACCCTCCACCACCGCTCTGGGCTTGAGGTTCATCATCAATAATCTGTACACCTCGCCTTGCAGATCCTGGTTGACTGGAGCCATTGCCTTTTGCTCTCTCATCCACTTGCGCTGTTTCTATCATCCCTAAGAGAGGGAGAAAACAGAAATTATTTAGGACCACAACCTATGAGTTTTCTCTATAATTTCAGTATACCACCATGATAGCCATTTCTGACTTTCAACCAATAAGGAAACAAAATATAATAAACATTTTGTCAGCTCACTAAATAGCTGTTCCTGCAAGTTATAAATAGTTAATAGCAACTGTATTTGTCCAGTTGCATCATGGCCACAGTGACATCAATAGAGAAAAAAGTTTTTGCTTTGAACAAATAACTGTATACAAGTATAATCCTTAAGATTTTCCAAATATACTTAGCAACATGTCAAAGAAGTTCAAATTATTCCACGTGCAACTAATATCTAGGGAATAAGATTTATTCTACAACTAGTAATGCAATACTTTTAAGCAAATAATATTTGAAAGAATGAAAGAGTTTAAGATGAGGGAGGAAGAACAAAGCTGGAGGACTCATGCTATTTGACTTAAAGATATAGCAGAAAGTTACTCCAATAAAGAGTGAGATACTGGTGAAAGGAGAGCTCTAAAGATCAATGAAAGTAATAATACACTATATATGTTAACTAATTGAATTTAAATAAAGATCACTGGAACACTGTCCAGAAATAGATCCCCCATATATGGTCACTTGATTTTTGATGTATGTGCCAAGATTATTCCATGAAGAAAGAATAACCTTTTCAAGAAACAGTATTAGAACTGGACATTTAGGGGCGCCTGGGTGGCTCAGTCGGTTAAGCGTCTGCCTTCGGCTCAGGTCATGATCCCAGGGTCCTGGGATCGAGCCCCGCATCGGGCTCCCTGCTCAGCGGGGAGCCTGCTTCTCCCTCTCCCTCTGCCTGCCTCTCTGCATACTTGTTCTCTCTATCTCTCTGTCAAATAAATAAATAAAATCTTAAAAAAAAAAAAAAAGAACTGGACATTTACATGTAAAAAATAAACCTTGATCTATCTATATCTCTCACCATATGTAAAAATTAAAAAATGAATTATGGATCTAACCAGAAATTTCTAGAAGAAAACATAGGAGGAAATCTCTGTAGGAAAAAAATCTTTGTGACTCTGAATTAGGCAAAAATTTCTCATATAAGACACACAAAAAATGAATTATAAAGAAAAACTGACAAATCAGACCTTATTAAAATTTAGAACTTCTGCTCTGAAAGACACAGTTAAAAAATGAAAATAGAAGACACAGATTAGGAGTAAATAGTCACAAAATACATATCTGAAAAGATGAAGAAAGAAAAGAGGGAGTCCTTAGAACAATAATTCTTAAACTTGGGTTCAAAGACCCGATGAACAATGGTTTCCAAATATAGGTGTACAGGAAAATCCAGTATAAGAAAACACCACAAATTCTAATTTCTACTTATTGTTCCTTAACCTTTCAAAATTTCTAGTTTTGGGCGCCTGGGTGGCTCAGTTGGTTAAGCGACTGCCTTCGGCTCAGGTCATGATCCTGGAGTCCCTGGATCGGGTCCCACATCGGGCTCCCTGCTCAGCGGGGGGTCTGCTTCTCCCTCTGACCCTCCCCCCTCTCATGTGCTCTCTCTCATTCTCTCTCTCTCAAATAAATAAATAAAATCTTTAAAAAAAAAACAAAAAACCCCCAAAATTTCTAGTTTTTCATGTTTTATACAAATGTACAAAATATATTATTTGTGTATGTTCTATACTTTTTAAATATACATGGGAAATATTCACATTTTTTTCTATAAAGATGTGAGATTTAGGGGCATTTGGGTGGCTCAGTCAGTTAAGTGTCCCTTTCTTAATTTTGGCTAAGGTCATGATCTCAGGGCTGTAAGACTGAGCCCTGTATTGGGCTCCATGCTCAATGCAGAGTCTGCTTGGGATTCTCTCTCTCCCTCTCCCTTCGCCCTTCCCCACCACTCATGGGTTCATGCACCCGCTCTCTCGCTCTCAATAAAATCTTAAAAAAAAAAAAAAAGATGTGAGATTTATAACATTTCTAAGCTACAGATCTAGAACCTTGGTACTCAAAGTATGGTCTGAGGACCAGAATTATCACCACATGGATGTCTGTTAGAAATGAAAATCTGAGGCCCACACCAGACCCACTCTATCAAATATACATTTTAACAAGATCTCCAAGTGATTGATAGGTATGTACAAACAGTGAAAATAGAAATAAATTCTCAAATTTCAGTGTGCATCACAATCACATGGAAGGATTGTTAAAACAGATTCTAGGCACCACCTCCAGAGGTTTTGATTCAGTTGGTTTGGGTTGGGCACAAGAATCTGCATTTCTAATACATTCTCAAGTGATGCTGATGCTACTGATCAGGGGACCTCACTTGGAGAATTAAAGCTCTACAAGAATTATGAATGATCTTCAGGTTTTTGTAAAACTGAAATTTACTCCAAAGTCTGTGTATATGTATATTTTCCTAGAGACAAAATACACAGTTTCATCAAATTCTCAGAAGAGTTTGAGGTCCATAAATTCAAGGAATATAATTTGACAAAATCGTTTCAATCTATTATTCCATAGACTAGGGTTTTCCTAAGTATGGTATACATTCTATTGGTGATAAACATTTTCCTCTTTTTTAAAAACTTTCTACTATGAAAAAAACTTCAAATTTATATATAAAAGTAGAAAAAACAGCATAGGGCGCCTGGGTGGCTCAGTCGTTAAGCGTCTGCCTTTGGCTCAGGTCATGATCCCAGGGTCCTGGGATCGAGTCCCACATCAGGCTCCCCACTCGGCAGGAAGCCTGCTTCTCCCTTTCCCACTCCCCCTGCTTGTGTTCCTGCTCTCGCTATTCTCTCTGTCAAATAAATAAAATCTTTAAAAAAAAAACAACAGCATAATGAAAATCCATTATGTCCATCACACAATTTCATCTATACTAAGCAAGCATCCTTAGTATTATTTTGAATCAAATTCTAGACATGTAATTTTATTCATAATTTTAATATGATCTCAAAAATATAAGGACTCTTTTTTTAAAAAAATAAGAACTTTTTAAAAAAGTATAGCCACAACACCATAATCATACCTTAAAAAATTTACAATAATTTTTAAAATAAAGAATAATTCCATTTATTTAAACTAAAAAACAAAACATTTCAACCATTTTTCCCACCCCCAAGCCCCTTCCTCTGGCAACCACCAATCTGTTCTCTGTTATCTATGAGATTGGTTTTATTTATTCATTTTTAGATTTCACATATAAGAGGGATCATATGTTATTTATCTTTCTCTGACTTATTTCACTTAGGATAATGCCCTCAGGGGCAGTGGGTGGCTCAGTCATTAAGCGTCTGCCTTCGGCTCACGATCCCAGGGTCCTGGGATTAAGCCCTGCATCGGGCTCCCTGCTCGGCAGGAAGTCTGCTTCTCCCTCTCACACTCTCCCCCGGCTTGTGTTCCCTCTCTCGCTGTGTCTCTATCAAATAAATAAATAAAATCTTAAAAAAAAAAAAAAGAAAAGGATAATGCCCTCAAGGTCCATCCATGTTGTCACAAATGGCAAAATCTCATCGTTCTTTTGGCTGCATAGTTAGTTTGATGTAGTCCACTTGTTTATTTTTGCTTTTGTTGCTTTTGCTTTCACTGTCAGATTAAAAAAATCAGGGCTATGTCAAGGAGCTTACTACCTATATTTTCTTTTAGGAGTTTTATGGTTTCAGGTCTTAGGTTCAAGTTTTTGATCCATTTAATTTTTGTGTATGGTGTAAGATAGTGATCCAGGTTCATTCTTTTGCATGTGGCTGTCCAATTTCCCCAACACCATTTATTGAAGAGACTGTCCTTTCCCCATTGTATATTCTTGACTTCCTGGTCATAAGTTAATTCACTATATATGCATGGATTTATTTCTGGGCTCTGTATTCTGTTCCATTGATCTGCGTGCCTGTTTTTATGCCAATACCACACTGTTTCACTGTAACTCTGTAATATAGTTTGAAATCAGGGAATGTGATGCCTCTAGCTTTGTTCTTCATCTCAACATTGTTTTGGCTATTCAGGGTCTTTTATGGTTCTATACAGATTTTAGGAGTCTGTTCTCTTTCTGTGAAAAATGCCACTGGAATTTTTTTTTAAAAGATTTTATTTATTTGACAGAGAGAGGGAACACATGCAGGGGGAGTGGGAGAGGGAGGGGGAGAAGCAGGCTTCCCGCTGAGCAGGGAGCCCAATGTGGGGGATCATGACCTGACCTGAAGGCAGACGTTTAACAACTGAGCCACCCAGGCACCCCTGCCTGCTTAATTCTGATAAGGACTATGCTGAATCTGCTTTGGGTAGTATGGACATTTTAACAATACTGATTCTTCTAATATATGAGCATGGATTATCTTTCTACTTATTTGTATCTTCTTCAGTTTCTTTCTTGAATGTCTTACAGTTTTCAATATACAGGTCTTTCACCTCTTTTTCTTGAAATTCATTCATAGGTACTTTATCATTTAATGTAAATATAAATGGGATTGTTTTCCTAATTTATCTTTCATTATTAGTGCATGATTTTGCATGTTGATTTCCTATATCCTTCAATGAACCAATTTTATTTATTAGTTCTAACAAGTTTTTTTGATGGGAGTTTTTAGGATTTTCTTCGGGGTTTTGACATATAATGTCATCTGCAAGTACTGACAGTTTTGCTTCTTCCTCTCCAATTTGTATGCCTTTTGTTTCTTTTCCTTGCCTAATTGCTCTGACTAGGACTTCCAATACTATGTTGAATAAAAGTGGTGAGAGTGAGCCTCCTTATCTTATTCCTGATCTTAAAGGAAAAGCTTTCAGCTTTTCTCCATTGAATATGATGCTAGCTATGGGCTTTCTGTATATAGCCTTTATTATGTTGAGGTATATTCCCTCTATATCCACTTTGTTGAGAGTTTTTGTCATAAATGGATGTTGAATTCTGTCAAATGCTTTTTCAGCATCTACTGAGATGATCATATGATTTTATCCTTCATTTTGTCAACATGGTATATCACAATGATGACGTGGATGTTGAAC